GATGCAGTGGTGCGCTTGACAGGGTGCAGTAGCCTTTTGTTTCTCCTCCCCCCCCCCCCCCCCACCCCACCCCAAGCTCCCCCCTTTCTCAGTCAATCGATGGGAGTGCCAAACCAGTTTCAGAGGATTATGATGTATCAGGCGGACTGGGCTGAGAGAAAGTAGATAGAGCCAAGCTGGTAGGGGTATAGCAGGCTGCAAATAACATTTATCTCAGCATCAGACGAGTTTCCGCAGCTCATGATATGTCAGGCAGCCAGAACTGTGTTCTGTTGCTTTTAGAGCTGATGTAGCTTCTGTTGCTTTCTAACAGGACTGCTTGTTAGGCCTGTTCCTTGGGAGGGATAGAGAGGTAGAATGGGTTGAGATTGGTCCATCTGACAGTCGATCCCTTTGTCATGGTTCCCCATTCTGTGACATATTGAAGCCTTTCTTTACTGGTAGTTTTCCAACTTGCCGTCTCTGAATCCTCCTCTAAGGCCTCTTCATTAACATTCCCCTCGCTCTCTAACATTGGTGTCAGGTCAAAGCTCTCTTTACTGATCCCTTTCTTTTCGACCCCCTGTGAGTCCTCCTTTGGATTAACATCATGATACAACACAACGGAAAGCTCTCACATGCAGCTGTCATCAAACAAGCTCAGTAGAGAATGTTCAACAGGTTTCCAAACACGCATGAGTAGCGAGTATCAAGAGAACAACCAACTTGTTTTATTTCAAAAATTTACACAGCTGAAAAGTCTGGCCACTCCTACTTCGGCCCAGCAACGTCCATCAGTCAACAGCTTCAGATATGTGTCTCGCGACTCTCTCTCTCTCTCTCTCTCTCTCTCTCTCTCTCTCTCTCTGTGCAATAACTCAACGTAAAATATATAATAGTCTTGAGCCACACATCGACACTTGGGTCTAGGGAGCTGTAACAGGGGCCAAAGGCCACCCCCAAGTCATAGAAAATTGCCTGATACAAGGCCTGCTGCTGTGGGTACCCGAAGCACGGCCTAAACATGGCTCCCAGAGGCCCTGCGTGCGAYAGTTGAMCGTGGAAAGTCAAAGGTCAACAGCAGATCGGGAATTCAGGCTCACGAGTCGAAGTCTACACGGTCCCAGCCCAGGCCACAAACCAGACACACACACTTAGTTGTTTGCAGGTATCTGTCAAGGATTCAGTCCAAGTGGGAATCTGCAACTTTATGGAATCCAAGCTGTTGACTACGGAGCAATCTGGGCTGCCGTACCTGCAAGACCAGAGGCTGGACAAGCCAAGTCAACACTATATGTTGACCAAGCCTTGTTGACCGTCATTCAGTCTTGCACTTGTTACTCTATGATGGCATAACGCTGGCTCATTGCTAGCTTTGCGCTGGCTTGACATTGGACGAAGATGTGAGACTACTTTGTGTTTACTTGATGCTGGCGCCATTTCTATCCTTGGCGCCAGCTGGATCGGAGACTTTGCTGACGTGGGGCTGGCCACACTGTCTGCTACCGAGACTTTGCTGACGTAGCATTGGTCATACTGTCTACATCATT